TAAAGTGGAATTATGAAGTTTCTCTTTTTATCAAGGGAACTATGAGTTTAAATAGTTGGGTATACTGATAATAAATGGAAGACGACAAGATTTTGATCATACTCACCTCGAGAGAAAAGAAATTATTATTTTTTAAGATTTTTATTCACACCAAAGATCGACTGATTGCATATCCAAGACTAGAAACAAGATTAAAAGAACATAAGCATGGAAACACCGTCTATAAAATAGGCTGATGGCATTTTTTAAATATTCTGTTATTGTATTATTGTGTCATAATGTCATTCTATCAGTTTATGTTTCCTGTTTACCATGCTATCATTCCATTATTCTATTATTCTATCCTCTCCTATTTTCTTTTTATCATTCTATCTTTCCATGATTCTCTTATTCTATCATTCTTTTATATATTACTATATTCTATCATTGTATTATTATTACTATATTCTATCATTCTATTATTTATTAGTGTATTCTATCACTATTATTTATTACTTTATTCAATCATTCTATTATTTATTACTCTATTCTATCACCTAATATTATTCTCCTATTCTATCACTCTCATATTTCATCATTCTCTTATTCCGACATATACTACAAGTCTGGATACCCATCTAAAAATTGAAAGTCAAGTCACATTATGAATAAAAAAAAAAAAAAAAAACTACCTTGTTGATGCCATGGTAGAAAACCCCACAATGCACAAGCTAAATTCATTGAAGTGAGTCAGACAATAAATTTAGTTTGTACATTGTGAGTAAAGACTATATACCAAAGACTATATATAGTCTTTGGTATATAGTCTTTGCTATATACTCTTTGATTGTGTGTTTTTTCTATCAAGTCACATTATATAACGCGTTATAATCTTCAGTCTGTATACAAAAGACTATATATAGTCTTTGGTATATAGTCTTTGCAATATACTCTTTGATTGTGTCTTTCTTTTTATCGTCACATTATATAACGCTTTATAATCTTCAGTCTGTATACAAAAGACTATATATAGTCTCTGGTATATAGTCTTTGCTATATACTCTTTGATTGTGTGTTTTTTCTACCAAGTCACATTATATAACGCGTTATAATCTTCAGTCTGTAAACAAAAGACTATATATAGCCCTTGGTATATAGTCTTTGCTATATACTCTTTGATTGTGTCTTTCTTTTTATCGTCACATTATATAACGCGTTATAATCTTCAGTCTGTATACAAAAGACTATATATAGCCCTTGGTATATAGTCTTTGCTATATACTCTTTATCTATCGTCACATATATAACGCGTTAATCTTCAGTCTGTAAACAAAGACTATATACTTGGTATATAGTCTTTGCTATATACTCTTTTGTGCCTTTTTTTTGCACATTATATAACGCGTTATAATCTTCAGTCTGTATACAAAAGACTATATATAGCCCTTGTATAGTCTTTGCTATATACTCTTTGATTGTGCCTTTCTTTTTATCGTCACATTATATAACGCGTTATAATCTTCAGTCTGTATACAAAAGACTATATATAGCCCTTGGTATATAGTCTTTGCTATATACTCTTTGATTTTCTTTTTCGTGTCAATTATATAACGCGTTATAATCTTCAGTCTGTATACAAAAGACTATAATAGTCTTTTGTATATAGTCTTTGCTATATACTCTTTGATTGTCTCTTTTTTTTTATAAGTCACATTATATAATCTTCAGTCTGTATACAAAAGACTATATAAGTCTGGTATATAGTCTTGCTATTATACTCTTGATATTTGTTTTTTTTTTTTTTTTACCAAGTCACATTATATAATCTTCAGTCTGCACCAAAACAACTCAGTCACCCACGAACCATGGCGGAGTACGGAGCGCACATCACCATCACGGCCCGAGAGAGGCCTTCGGTGTTCGATGTCGTTGCACAGGACAGTCTTATGGCAACGTTGCAACCGGCTGTCAAGCACGTGATGAAGGTGAAGGATGATGGGGAGAGGATGGAGGAGTTGGGGGAGAGAAGGAGCTGAAGGAGGATGAGAGAGAGAGAGATGGGAGAAAAGGAGTGAGGATGGAGAGATAGAGATAGGGAGAGATGAAAGGAGTGATTGGAGAGAGAGAGAGAGATAGGATGAGATGATGGAGAGAGGAGAGAGAGAGAAAAAAGAAAGTTGAAAGGAGTGATGGAGAGAGAGAGGAAGAGATGAATGAGTGATGGAGAGAGATGAATGAGTGATGGAGAGAAAGAGGGAGATGAATGAGATGGAGAGGAGAGAGATAGGAGAATGAATGAGTGAAGAGAGAGGAGAAAGAGTGATGAGAGAGAGGAGAATGAAGAGTGATCTAGGAGAGAGAGAGAGAGAGAGAGAGAGAGAGAGAGAGAGAGAGAGAGAGAGATGGAGAGGAAGAGAGAGAGAGAGATGAAGGAGTTGGATGAAAGAGACAGGGAGAAGAATGAATGATGGAGAGAGAAAGAGATAAGTACGAGGGTGAGATAGATCTGAAAGTCCTGTCATATAGACAGATGATTGACAGACAGACATAGAGAACAAGAGACAAGAGGTGAAGCCAAGTTTAATAAATATACCAAACACGAAAACAGAGAGAGAGAGAGAAGAGAGAGAGAGAAGAAGAGAGAAGAGAGAGAAAGAGAGAAGAGAGAGAGAGAGAGAGAGAGAGAGAGACTGACAAGACAACATAATTTCAAGATATGGTCATTTTTTGTATATTCGTCATGACATGGTGTCCAAATGCCTAAAATAAAAATAAGAAGGGAATTTAGAATAGAATCCTGTCAAGAGTATTTCATATTTTGTATTTCATGGTCTGACAAATACTGATAATCCCTCATCATAGATTTTTTGGAAGAGAAGAGAGAAAAGAAAAGAGAGATAGAAAGGGAGAGAGAAGGAATGAGAGGATTGCAAAAGGTGTTCAGACATAGTAGAGTTTGGTCTGCTAGAGTATACATCATCGACTGGTTTATTAAAATTGTGTGAGGCCCGACCCAATAAACTCATATACAGACATGTATAGACACTGATATAAATGCCTATATATCAGCCTAACCATGCATATCTTCCATTTAGATAGATAGATAAATGTATGTATATCTGGTAGACAGAAGGATACGCATTTCTGTGTATATGCATGTCTGTATTTACGGATATTCATTGGGTCGGGACTCACGCAATTTTAATGAATAGGCCACATGAAGGGTTTTAGCTGTTGTGACAGCTATTGTGCGAGTCGGTGTCCTTTCCCAATTGTCTGAGCCTATAATGTAAATGGGCATTTACCTCGTCTTCTCTATGAGGACATGATATTGTGCCACTCATAGTTAGGGCTATTAATTTGATGGGCAGATTAATGTTAAAAGATTTGAAGCCTTTAAATAACATGTTTATTTGTTTTTCTGGTATAATTATGCCTCTTCTCTTGTCAGTTACTTCTTATATGTGCCATTTTTAGTATGTAAATTTAGTATGTGTAGTAAGATGAATGTAGATGCATTTAAACATCTGTAAACTTTGTAGTGTATTTATGTATTTTTTCTCTTTCAAGGTTTTAGCTGAGAGCAATCCTGAGAAATACGGCTGGTGTTTGCGGTACAGCAATGAGATATTTGTGATGTTCAATCTAGTCATCCAGCATCATTATCTTTCGAACTATGGTGAGTGTAACATGGTTTATAATAGTGTTTTTCGAATGATTCATCTGTTATATATATGTAGTTTTATGTGATATTTTTTATTGTACTGAATGTAATTATTTTTTTCTCTTATGTGCTTCCCGAGAATTTTTAGCGTGTACAGCTAAAGTCATCAAAGAGGATGGAGGCTCTATCCTTATCAAGAAAGGTTTATCTAAAATCATTATCGGCTCTTGTGGCGTTTCCTTACATACGGGAAAGAATTGACAATGTTTTTCAAGAAGTGAGGGAAAAGGATGCAGACGGCTTACTTAATGATAAGGTAATATCATTTCGCAGATTTCTTTTGGTGTCTTTTGAACTGAGAACTGCATTTCTTTATAAAGTCTCCACAAATAATGTTTTGATAAGATAGTACAATAAAACTGATCTCTAATTTAATGATAGATATCCAGGGAGGTTTACAAACTCATGATCTTCACAGAATATTCTTGGTAGAAGTGTTTTGACCCTCGCCAAAGTGCCAAAATTGCTGGGACTAGAGGGATCACTTCCATTACTGCAGTTGTAGCTCTGGTGATTGTGGTCTTGAATTTCTGATACTCGACAGTATTTTATGTATTCTTTATGGCTATTACGAAAGTTTTTCTCCATCCCCACACAGTCCTCCTTTCAGGATTTGCTTAGCTAATTATTTTATTTATATTTTTTGACTTTGTACACAAATGAATATCACGAAGATGAGTTGATAGTGTTGAAGATAATCCTTTTTTGGCAATGATGTATATGGATTTAAATTATTTCCACTTCTTTTCATGTCATATTGTGCTTGAAATAAAGGCAAACAATATCATTTCAGAACTGGAGTAACAGGATGAAGAAGATATTCTTGACCCTTTGGCCTTTCCTCCATTTTTCCTGGGAATTCATAACGCTAGTTTACTACGTTCGGTGAGTGAGAGGGACCCGAAACAAACCTTTGCCTATTTTATTTTCATCTATGGCAGGTCACACTGATTGTTCTTTATGTTGCATCATAGTTACCTTAAAGCAAGACCACAGCACGTTTTTGTTGATTTGGATAAAGCATAGGTATTACAAGAAGGGTATTTTATAAGCCATTTATAGGTGCAGAAATTTGTTGTTTAACTATTAATTTTTATTAACTTTAATTGTTCATCATTGTAATTTCATTGAATAATTGGGGATCAGTCTTGTATCAGTCTTATCTTTTGATTTTTTATAATTATCAGTTTATGTAGCATTCTTATTTTTTTATTAGATTATGTGTTTTTTTTGTTACAGGTACGTTATAGGTAGAAGCAGATTTCATACTCCACTCTTGCTAATGTGTGGAGTGCGC